TGTATGAAATGTCATGAAATTTAACACTCATTCATGAATTTTAAAAATATATCATACATTTATTGACAGAACTTTCTTTTTTTTTTTTTTTTTTTTTTTTTTTTTTTTTTAGCTGAGCCATCCTGCCACCTGTTGGCAGCTCAGCGACTGCTCAGCTCGGGCTGACTCGAACCGCTGTTGCTCAGAGCTCAAACTCTTGAGCGAGCTCTTAACCAACTGAGCCACTCAGCCGGCCCGACAGAACTTTCTTAATCTGATAAAAGTTTCCACCAACACCTATAGCAAACATTATTCTTTTTTTTTTTTTTAAGATTTTTTATTGGGTAATTGGGGGGATGGGAACAGTGATGGGGAATTGGGGGAAGGGGAACAGACAAGTTGCTGTCGTTTTGTTCTTCAATCTAGTTGTGGAGGACGCTGCTTCACTGGCCCAAGTTGGCACCATCATTGCGCTCTTCCCTGGCGAGGCAGATCAGTCGCCGGCTTCTGGACGGCCGCTCACTGCGGCTGCTGGCCGCTCACACTGGCTGCTGGCTACACACGGTAGCCCGTGGCAACCAACTGCAGCCTACGCCGTCGCCAGCGACTCATGGCAGCCCAGCTCCAGTTTGAGCTGTTGTTCAGCATCTTAGCTGTAGAGGGCAGTGTCACTGGCCCTCATATGTGGGATCCGAACCAGGGACCTTTGGCGTTCCAAGCCAGCTCTTAACCAATGCGCCACTGGGCCGGCCCGCAAACATTATTCTTAATGAAAAACTTCCTGAGGATTCCACAGTCAAGGCAGGACTAATAAGACCAGTAGTTCTACTATCACCAATAGTATTCAACATTATACTGCAGCTGTAACCCACTACAATTATACCACAAAAAAATAAAAAAGAAACTATAATAAGTCTTGGGGATGTAATACACAGCATAGGACATATAGTCAATAATATTGTGATAGCGTGGTACAGTGTCAGATGGTTGCTGGACTTATCATGGTGATCACTTCTTTAGGTCTATAAATGCTGAATAACTATAGTATACACCTGAAACTGTATAACATTGTGTGTTAGCTATATTTTAATAAAAATCTTTTTTAAAAGAAGCAAAAAAAACTATAAAAATTAGAAAGGGATATATAAATTATCTATAAATAAATAAATAAATAAATAAATAAAATGTCCCTTACTCAGAAAATACAAAAGAATCAACTGATAAACTATCAGAACCAATAAGACAATTCAGCAAATCTGCTGGTGTTTCTATAACCAATTAAAACGTAATCAGGAAAAAAGATCTCATTCATAATAGAAACAAAACTACAAGACAGCTAGGAATAAGCTTAACAAAAACATGCATAATCTTTACTGAAAAAATAAAGCTGTATTTTGAAGGGCATTAAAATAAATGCAGGGCGGTTTCACGTTCAGGATGAACAAAAGATATGAACAGGCAATTCACAGAAAAGTAGAACTGTTGATAAACATACGAAAAGATGCTCAATCTCAGTGATAATCAGGGACATACAAATTACAATGAGATACTATTTCACACCCATCAAATTGGGAGAAAAATTGAATGCTTGAAAATACCAAGGGCGGTTCGAGTCCTGGCCCGAGCTGAGCAGCCGCTGAGCTGCCAACAGGTGGCAGGATGGCTCAGCTAAAAAAACAAACAAACAAACAAACAAAAAACCAAGGGTTGGCCAGGATATAATGCAATGAGAACTGTCGTCATACGTTGTTCGTGAGATTAAATCAGTATTACCCTTCAGAAAGCAATCTGGTAATATGTAACAAAGTTGAAAATGTGTCTTCCCAGCTCTTCTGTTTTAGATGTATGCCCTAGAGAAACTCAAACGCATGTAAGCAAGCAGACATACAGCAGTGTTCATAGGAAGGTTCACATTGTTTGTCACTGTGTGTAAAAACTATCCATTTAGAATATTTATTTTAAGCCTGCCATCTTGCTGAACTGATATACTAGATAGAATGGTACATGTATATCAAGACATCAAGTTGTACACTTTAATTATATACAATTTTTATTTATCAGTTATACCTCAACAAAACTGAAAAAAAAGAAAATCATCTAATAGAGAAAAAAAATAAAGGAAGCTGAGATGTAATGAATGTGCCTGGATTCTCCTGGATTTCTCAGGGAGACACTCCCATTACCTGTACATAATGATGAACTAGGCCATCAAAGCAATTTTCTTATAGACAATCAATATTCTGTTAGGAAATCAGTGTATGCAAAGACCCAATTCCCAATAGCAATCAAAAATATAAAAATTCCCAGGAATAAATACAAAATTTTACTGAGAGACTTAAAAGACAGCTTGATTAAATGGAGTTAGACACTGTCTATATGAACAGGAAGATTTAATATCATATAAATGTATTTTTGTCTAATCATTTCATACATTTAATGTTAATCAGAATTACACAAGTTGTTTGCAATTTTTTTTATCCTTTGAGGAGGGTTGTTGTTGCTTTTAAGTTGAGAAAATTCTTCTTGAGTTTATCTAGAGGAATAAATATGGGAGAATATTTTTTTAAGTAATAGAAGGCAAATGAGGGAGGACCTGCCATCCTAAATATTTCTATTATAAAGCTACAGTAATTAAAACAGTATGGCTCATGCAGAAGAACAGACAAATAGATGAACGCACTAGAATAGAAAGTTGATGAACAAAACCAAATCAATATAACTATATATGTGACAATGGTGATTTTAAATTTGGTGTTCGATGAAATATTTACAAACAGGGTTTGGTTAAATGGTTAATCAACCAGGGATAAAAGGGGGAATCTTATCTTATATCATATGCCAAAATAAATCCAAGTGGATGTAAGGGCAAAAGTACTAGAAGAAAACATTGGTTTGTTTATTTATCATACATTTAGAGTGCGTCTTATGTACCAGGGCAAACATTCTGGACGGTGAAGTATGCATAATTATATTGGGGGATGAGTTAATTTTATGATGGAAATTCCTGCAGCTATTTAAATGCTGTTGGGGAAAACTATTTAATGATTTTTAAATTATGCACAGCATATTAAGCGAAAGAACAGTTACCATATAGCATCTATAGTTTGATCTTGTATTTATAAAAATAAAACATATATATATAAAGATATGCATAGAACAAAACCTAGAGAGATAGTCACCGAAATGTTATGAGTGCTGAAAGTTTCTTTTATTTTCTTTGTGCTTTTCTGTTTTATAAGTTTTGTCTGCAATGAATATTTTATCATAATGACACATTAAGAACACTTTTTGTTCTTAACAATTAGGATGAGTTATGCTTTGAAATTAAGGAGAAAATCCTGTTCCCATTATACTTTTATTAATTAACAACAATTTCTTAATACCATTATAAATATATCCAGTGAGTGTTCAAGCTTCCAATTATCTCATAAATGTCATAATATTTTTTAAATTTATAGTTCATTTGAATCAGGACCCACATAAAGTCTACACATTGGATTAGTTTCCTCGTGTGGCTTTTAATCTGTAGGTTTCTCCCTCCTTCCCCCACTTGTAATTTATGTGTTTGAGAAAAAGGATAATTTGTCCAGTGGAATTTTTCACATTCTGGATTTTATTGAGCATCTTGCCAGAGTGTCAGTTCATGTGTTCCTCTGTCGTCTGTATTTCCTGTAAGTTACTTGATCTGGTTCAGGCTTGTTTTTTGGTCTTTTTTGTTTTGTTTTGTTTAAACAAAATGACTCAATCTTCCATCAAGAAGTGCATGATATCGGGTGGTCTCTCTTATTGTGATGTTAGCAAGCATGAGTGATTAATGCCTTGATCAATTAATTCCAATATATGTTTTAATGGCTACAAATGTTTTTATAACAATTCGGGTGCAGCAGAGGGCTAAACTCTTTGAACTGGCACCCTCTCTGTGCGTTGGAACTCTGGAATCCTCTCAGTCTATCAGTGATATAATGCAATTGCACATACAGTCTTGAGGAAACAGACGTGAGGCTCCCGGGGGCCTAAACAAATCTCTGTAATATACAGCACTGTTAGCTTGAAGGATGGCTTCTTTTAGAAAGCTTTGCTTCATAAATAGTAGAATGGAAATATTGTTCCAATTTGCTGGCAGCTGGCACCACATCCTGTGCCATGCACAAATATTCATCACCCACCCATAGATCCCATCTTTGATATTTACCAAAGCACCAGGGGGTCCTTCACTCAATCACAACTTCTGTTGTTATTTGTACAATTATCTGGAAAGGAGCAGCAACCTTGAAACCTGGGGAGTCAGTTCATTATTCTGATGATTGTTGACTTTGCTGGTGCTCAGAAGTTCAGGGCACAGATGGGAGTCAGTGGAGCCAGATGCCTGCACGATTCCACCCCTGGCAAGCCCAGCAGGCCCTCGCTGGAGCCCTCATTTTAGAAGGGAAGGGGCAGAGGCTGGGCTTGGGGAAGGGAAAGGCACCATGACACGCTGGTCATCTTAACTCCATCCTCCTGGATCCCAGGGGCCATGTCCAGCCCAATGGTCAAGACGAAGGCCATGCCACCGTGGGGTGGGGTCAGACCAGGAGGACGATTGTCGTGCGGATGGAGTGTTTCGCGATGCAGAGATGCCGAATGCTTTCAGCATCCCTGTCTGCAGAAACAGATGGCTTGGGCAGTCAGGCAGCCCTAACCTGGCCTCCCCAGGCTGCTGAAGAGTAAGCCGGTGCCAGATGGGGGTTGAGGGAACACGAGCAGATCTCCACTGGAAAGGTTAAAACAGCGACCAGTTTCCTAGAGACCGGATTCACGCTGAGATGGGCGGGGCACCGAACTGGCACCAAGTGGACACTAGCGGGGCCGATACTTGCTCAGTTGCTAGGTCCACTCTGCCCTCTCCCTTGCACCTGATGACTCAGTGCCTCTCTAACAGTCCTCAGTGCACAACACTGGGAGTGTGGGCTGTGGGATGAGAAGCTGTTGTTCAAAATAAAGCCATGCTGACGACATCGGGTTGGGGTCTCTCCTGTGTTCAGGTCTATGACGGCAACAACAACTCCGCCCGTTTGCTGGGGGTGTTCAGCCGCTCGGAGATGATGGGGGTGACTTTGAACAGCACATCCAGCAGCCTGTGGCTTGATTTCATCACTGATGCTGAGAATACCAGCAAGGGCTTTGAGCTGCAGTTTTCCAGTAAGTCCTTGCATCTCGGTGGCCGACAAGTCAGGCTTTCCCTCGGGCCACAAACAGGGAGGTTGGGCTCTGGGGCCTCATCCAGCACCGAGTAGGTTTGACTTTCTCTGACTGGCACATGTTTAACTGGTTGTGCCTGTGATTTGGGTACGCTGCCGCTCAGCATAAAGCTCTGTGGTTGGAACTTGTGGTTAATTGAGTTGACGGCATACCTTTTACTCACTAATACTTTAAAAATTATAAACGCTGAGCCTTTAATTAAAGCCACCAAAGACAGCCTTTGTTAATCATGGCATTTATAAAATAATATTCGGCTACAGCCAGATGTAAAAAATGCAAACACTAATGTATAATTATGTTCATTTTTACTACTCCCTGAAGAGTTGAGTCTTGATTCTTTCCCTCTTTTTTTCACGGTTTTAACTTTCTCCTTTAATCCTGGGATGTTGAAAATGGAAAGCACCCAAGTTTGTATGCAGCCCCCCCAGAGTTCTTGGGGTGACATTTGAGCTTCTACTTGCCCAGTAGATACCAAAAAAAAGTGCTTTTATAGACTATTTTAAAATCTAGTGCGCATTCATCAACTGATGAATGGCAAAACAAAATGTGTTATGTCCGTCCACACAATGGCATATTATTTGGCCATAAAAAGGGATGAAGTTCTGGCACATGCTTCGACATGGGTGAACCTTGCAAACATCATGCTCAGCGACAGAAGCCAGTCACAAAAGACCACGTATTATGTGATCCATTTATATGCGCTGTCCAGAGTAGGCAAATCCATAGAGACAGGAAGAACATCGGTGGTTGCGTAGGGCTGAGGGAGTTGGGAGGGAATGTGGAGGGGGCTTCCTTTCGAGGCAATGAAAATGTCCTGACGTGGATTGTCTTGACAGGCGCACAACCCTGCGAACTGTACACTTTTAGATGTTTAGTATGTGAATTCTTTCTCAATAAACCTGTCAGAGCAAACAAACCCAATGAGTCTACCAAAGACCCCTCTCGCCCGGGGCCCCAGGCTGTCAGCTTAGGGATCTGTGCCTGTTACAGCAGACAGGTCAGCGGAGCAGTGTTAATAGAGTCATTTTCAAATTCCATTTCTATCACCTGAGATTGTGTGACTTTGGAACAATTTATTTAACCTTTCTAAGTCGATGTTCTCAGTTGTAAAATGTAGATAATTACACCTCCCTATAAGACTCCTGTGAATAACAAATGAGAGATAACCCAGGTGAGGTACCGTACAGTACAAGCTCTGTATAAACTCTGCAGAGGTTTCCTTCTGCAGCCTTTTTCAATAGAGTATATTTAAGCAGAGCATAATTGAGCTTTGAAACATATATTTAAAGTGACTTTTCCATATTACACTATCCCACAGAATGTCTTGGTGAGCAAAATTGAAAAAACAGCTCCCACCAGCAAAATGCTATGAGGTCAAACAAAAGAAATAGAACATTCAGACCCTATGCCTGAAAACTATTAAAAGCTGTCCTGGCAGAAATAACTAAAATCATTTACATGTAGCAACAGGGGAGCAAATACTCCGTAATACACTCTCACCCGAGCACAGCAAGATGGCGGCCCCTGAGCACTGGGTTCGTCAGAACCCAGAGGCACAGGGCCGGTCAGCTTCCTCAAGGAAACGGGTTTTGAGGGAGTGTGGTTTCTGCCACAACAGGCCTTGCTCACCCTATCCCTTCTGTCTTCACCAGGTTTTGAACTTGTCAAATGTGAGGACCCAGGAACCCCCCAGTTTGGCTACAAGGTTCATGACGGAGGCCATTTTGCAGGGAGCTCCGTGTCCTTCAGCTGTGACCCTGGGTACAGCCTGCGGGGCAGTGAGGAACTGCTGTGTCTGAGTGGAGAGCGCAGAACCTGGGACCGGCCACTCCCCACCTGTGTTGGTAGGAGGCCTCTTGCTGACCCTTGTCACATACTTAGCAGGTGGGAACAGAGCAAAGTCATGCCCTCAGAATTGTAATGCTGGTGAGAGAGAAAAGGTAGGAGAGTCGATTAGAAAGGAAGAAATTGAGCTTTTGCCTAGGTTCCAGGGGTTCCTGTGACAAACACCAAGGCTCAAATGAGTCTCCAACTCACTCTGGGCCTCAGTTTCTCTATACGCAAAATGGGGCTCATGCTCCCTTTCCTGAGGAAATGTTGAAAGACCAAGACCATGAACGATCATCTGTCTCGCTCTTTAAAAAAGATGCACTGGCATTTTCTTAAGCCTGTGATGCTTCCAGAATGTCAGCAGAGGCTCTCTGGAAGCTTTATCTCGATGTGTCACAGAACAAGAGAAGTCTGGTCCAAGACCAAAGTGTGAAATAGGCAACACCCGTCGTTCTGTCTGTCTGGCCTTTCATCGCTCACCACCCGCCTCACTGCATGTGTCACCCTCCCTGCTGGTCAGGGCTCCCACAGCACTGCTGTGTCCCGCCTCACCATCCCCAAACACCAGGCCCTCCCCTCTCTCCTTCTCCTCCCCCATGGCCCACAACCTCACATGTCTGCGCGGCACCAGCTAATCTTCTAAGAACAAAACACTCACTGGGAAAACAGTGAAGTGCGTGCCAAGCGCTATCTGCCAGGGTTGGTGCCAGTGTATGTGGTTGGGTACGTGCGGGGGAAGAGAAATACGAAAGGAAAGAACAAAAGCACTTTCCCTGCCCTTGGGGAGCCCATACTCGAGCGAGGGGAGTAGACACGTAAACAGAACATGAATAATACAAGGCAAGCTCTGTAATAAGAGTTATGTGCAACGTGTAGGGGAGGTATGAGAAAGTTGTGCACAGGAGGTGATATTTCAGTTGAGACTTGGAAGGCTGGGTAAGAATTCACCAACAGGGGAGTCGGATGGGGAGGCGACTACTCCAGCCTGAGCCTGTGCAGGGGCTGAAGATGTGACCCAGCATGGTGGGAGATGTGAACAGCCAATATTCTCTTCCCCTGGACAACTCCATTTTAGTAGGATCTTCAACACTGTTATACAACAGTGTCTAAAGGCAGAGATTTTAAGTCTGAAAGTTGGTACACCCGGGTAGTGGCCTCTAGAGTCTGCGTCTCTCTCTATGTTTAGGTTGACTCAAACTGCAGTCACGCCCTTTGCCTTTCTCCCCACGTCCAGTTTTTCTCCCTTTCTTTCCTTCATGTGCCTGGGCTAGGCCCTAGGGATACAGAGGAGAGCAAATTCCGGTCCAGTGAGGGAGACACGTGCATAAACCCACAACAGTATAATGCCACAGGCAAGCCAGAGCAAGCGAAACGTGAAGGAGATGATGATTCACAGGATAAGACAATTATTTGCTTTGCAGAAAGCGTTCACTGGGTAAGGTTCTTTTGAATATCAAATTTGCCAGTTGGACTGAACTTCGAGGATGCACTCAAGCAGTGCTAGTAAGAATATTTATACTTTGAAACTCGGAGGCCTTCCCCACTGAGGCTCCCCCAGGCCCCGCTTAGGGGAGTGAGGCTGTGTAATTGGGATTATGGGTGTATATTTTTACACATGTCATGTTGTTGTGGACTCTATCATGGTCTGCCAGGAATGACTACTATCACTGGAAACATCCAGGTGTTTTCTTCAATGTTGAGCGTATGCTGCTGCCCAAAAGGAAGCAGCCAAGGCTCTAGGCTGGGAAGAGGGCCAGCACCAGAAAGAGCCTGAAGGTCCTATCGGTGAACCTGCTGCAGGCTGGCCGCTTGGCCCCTCCTGCCCGCCTCCCAGGACTCAGATCAAGTGATCCGTGAGGAAGGAACCAGTGTGTCCTTGAGCAAGTGCACCCAGTGCTGTTCGTTCAAACGCTCAGTCTCTGGAAAGCAAGAAGGGCGTCTCTATGTGGAATATGGAAAGAGGCTCTAGCCGAGGACATGGATAATGTCCTGCTGCCTTTCTAGATACCTCCTCTATGTGTGGGGCCAGGCAGCCTTCCTCCCCACAGCTTCGAATTCATCCTCTCCCTACCCTGCTCCCTGCCATGGGCCCATGCAGCTCTGCTTCTTGCAATCAGGTTGGCATCTCCCATCTCAACAACACCACAGAGGGAGGACTCCCAGTGAGACTTGAGCAAAGGATCTGGTCTCACGAGTAGCCTGACTGGCAGACAGCCCCTCCCCCAACCCTGCCTTAGTGGTCCCACATCAAGCCATGGGGCCCAAGAGATGCTTAATGGGTCCTTTGTAGCAACAGGTGAAGGTCAGTTTTCCATTTGTGACTCTGATCCCATTTTCTCCTAGGATCTTGTTTATCAATCATTCCCTTTCCTAAAAAGCTTTGCAATACCTCTCCTTCCCTTCCTTTTCACTGATGCTCCCTTGATTCAGACCTTTATAATGATTTGCCTGGGAAGCAATAAGCTTTTTTCATTCATTTGATCATCCACCCATCTATTCATTCAATCAACATTTATTAAAGTACCTATAATGTGCCAAACACTATACTAGGCACTTGTTGTGTAAATATGAGTAAGACAAGGTCCCTGTGGCCAATGAGCTCATAGTCTCATGAAGGAGATAGACATGATAATAGCATGTTACACATGCTGTGATAAAATCTGTTCATGCACAATATGGATGCACCACATTTGTTTACCCACGCATCTGTTGATGGACATGTGGGTTGTTTCCATTTTTTGGCTATTATGAATAATGCTGCTGTGATCGTTCATGTACAAGTTTTTCTGTGAACCTCTGTTTTCATTTCTCCTGGGTATATACCTAAGAGCAGAATTGCTGGAGTCATAGGCTAACTGTGTTTAATATTTTGAGGAAGTATGAAACTGTTTTCCAAAGTGGCTGCACCACTTTACCTTCCCACCTGCCGTGTATGAGGGTTCCAGTTTCTCCACATCCTCGCCTGCACTTGTTAGTGTCTGTCTCCTTTATTTTAGCCATCCTCGTGGATGTGAAGTGACATCTCACTGTGATTTTTTTTTAAAGATTTTTATTGGGGAATTGGGGGAGGGGAACAGCGCTAGGGAATTGGGGAAGGGAAACAGACAAGTTGCTGTCCTTTTGTTCTTCAGTCTAGTTGTGGAGGACGTTGCTTCATCACTGTGATTTTCATTTGCATTTCCCTAGTGACTGATGATGATAAACACCTTTTCATGTGCTTATTAGCCATTTGTACACCCTCTTCGCAGAACTGTCCATTCAGACCCTTTGCCCATTTTAAAATTGTCTTGTTTGTCTTTTCATTGCTGAGTGGTAGGAGTTTTTTGTAGATTCTGGATGTAAGTCTCCTGCAGGGGGCTTCTGTATACTATGCTCAGTCACCTGGAATGAATGAAAGGGACTCAGGGACACAGACAAGAGAAGCCACCGAGGCATCGCTGGCAGCACGGGCCACCCCATAAAGCTCACTCTTTTGGGATTTCTTTCAGCTGAGTGTGGAGGGACAGCGAAAGGAGAGGCGTCGGGGCAGGTGCTGTCACCCGGGTATCCAGCTCCCTATGAGCACAATCTCAACTGCATCTGGACGATCGAGGCTGACGCCGGCTGCACCATTGGGTAAGTGTCAGGGCAGGCCAGGCAACTGTTGCCACTTGTTCAGGAGAGTCATCACCAGTGTCATCACCCGACCACCCAGCTGGGAGCTGGTCCTGCCCACCTCACCTAAAGAACCCCAGGGCTATCAGTAGTGGTTGCTAGGACCCCAGACTTGGGTCCATGGAAAACCTGGAAAGGCCAGTCTCAGCCTCACAGGGCTGCACTCCAAGTTCAGACAACTCTCTGGCCTAGATGGCAGTTACAGCTGAGGGTATAGACTTAAAGTCATACGGACTGCTGTTTGAATCCCAGCCCTACCATTTACTCTTTGCAGAACCTTGGGTAAGTCTTTTATCCTCTCTGAGTATGACTATCTCCTTCTCGATTATGGGTTATAATACTGGCTTCTCGGGACAAAGCACTTCAGTGAGACATTGTATGTGATGTGCTCAGCATAGCACTTGGAACATAGTAAATATTTAATAACGGTTCTATGAAACGATGGTTCTGTGGTTATTACTCTTGCAATAGTAAGGGTCAGCTTAGAGCTACGAGCCCAAATTGCTTCCCTTTCTCAGTCTGCGTTTCCTCATCTGTAATATGAGGACAAAAATACATATGGTTTGGGGTTATATGGGAATCATTACAAAAGCCCAGCAGTGTCTGGTACTTTGTACATACTCCTTCAAAACATAACTTTCTTTCCTGATAAGCACCTGACTAACAGGAATTACTTATTGGCGTTCCAAGGAGTCAGAGAAGAAAGGAACATCACCATTTATCCAGCACAGGGCCTGGCACATATATTGTCTTATTAATTCTTCACAATAGCCATAGTAATACTAACAGTAAGCTCTAATAATAAATAGACATTATAGTAGTCCCCTCTTACCCAAGGTTTTACTTTCCTTAATGTCAGTTACCCACAGTCAACCACAGTCCAAAAATATTAAATGGGAAATTCCAGAAATAAACAACTCGTAAGTTTTTAAATTGCGGTTTACTCAGAGTAGCGCGATGAAATCTTGCACCGTCCTGTAACATCCAACCCAGGACGTGAATCATCCCTTGGTCCAATGTATCCACACCGTATACATTACCTGCCCATTAGTTACCAAGTACCCACCTCAGTTATCAGATTGACTATTGTGGTATCACAGTGTTTGTGTTCAACTAACCCTTATTTTACTTAATAATGGTCCCAAAGTACAAGAATAGTAATACTGGCAATTCAGATATGCCAAAGAGAAGCTGTCAGGTGCTTCCTTTAAGTGAAAAGGTGAATGTTCTCAACTTAATAAGGAAAGAAAAACATCCTATGTTGAGGTAGCTAAGATCTACAGTAAGAATGAATCTTCTATCTATGAAATGGTGAAAAAGGAAAAAGAAATTTGTGCTAATTTTGCTGTCACACCTCAGACAGAAAAAGTTAAGGCCACAACGTGTGATAAGTGCTTAGTTAAGATGGAAAAGGCATTAAATTTGTGGGTGGAAGACATGACACTGTTATGACTCTATGATCCTCTTTCTGACATATTATCAGAAGGTCATTAGTAACGTGATGCTATGTCACAATGCATGTGTCATTCGCCTCACTTCATCTCATCACGTAGGCACTGTATCATCTCACATCATTACAAGAAGGGTGAGTACAGTACAGTAAGATATTTTAAGAGAGAGACCATATTCACATACCTTTTATTACAGTATATTGTTATAATTATTCTATTTTAATATTAGTTATTGTTAATCTCTTACTGTGCCTAATTTATAAATCAAACTTTATCCAGTATGAGTATATAGGAAAAATATAGACTGTATAGGGCCTGGTACTATCTGCAGTCTCATGAATCCACTGGGGGTCTTGGACCGTGTCCCCTGTAGATAAGGTGAATAAGGGGGGACTACTGTGTTGTTATTCCCACTTGATAGATGAGAAAATGGAAATCCCAAGAGAATGTACACAGTGTCTGCATTTGCACGGAAAGCTGGGATGTGTCTTTGTGTCTTAGTGCCATATCACACTGTGGGCACAGCTGGGCCTGGAGTTGGGCATATGAAGAAAAGAGCAGGTGGAGTGGTAGGAGGAATGGAGGTGTGGAAGGAGGATCAAACAAGGCCATTGGCGAGGAAACGGTCTGACTGGAGTAGAGGATGCATGTGGACAAGGAATGGGAAGTAGAGAGGGGTAGAGTGTGACCTGGTCATGGAGGACCTTAAACGCCGGTGAACAAGAGGAAGCCATGACAGGTTCTAGAGCAGGGGTGGGCCACCAGAGTTATTGACAGTGGAGAGAGCTCATGGGAAGAAAACCGAGTCAGGAGACTGTTACAGTGATCTGAGAATGACGTGTTGAGGCTTTGGAATAATGTTTGGGGTTGGGGGGGCGGTATAGGAGCAGCAGTATAGCTAGGAGAAGACTCCTGCCTGGGAAACTTCTCAATTAAGGTGAACTGAAAGAGATACAGACGTTCGTATATGAGCTGATGTACACGTATCCTTAAATGAAACAAATGTGTTGAGTGTTTGCTGTAGGCAAGTTTTTGAGCTAAGCCCTGTGCAAAATGAGGTCATAATCTTACTCTGTTCTCCTCCCCACACTATTGATATCCGTTCTATTTTGTATGCCAGCATTACAGAAAGCAAATACAACAAGCATGATTTCTAAAACAAGATCATCTCTATGCACGGCTCACGGACTTGCTTTTTGTTTTATTCTTTAATCATATATTATCATCCTGTTATGTCAATATTTATATAGATCTGCCTCATCCTGTTTGATGGCTATGGGATGTTCTGTTGTATGCACAACCATAATTGATTCAACTACTCCCCTATTGATAAAGTGAATATTTTTCGGTTTTCACTCCAGTAAAAATCCTTGTACATGAATCTTCAAATAGTCATCCAATTATTTTCTTAGGATGTATTCTTAGAAGACAGATTTCAATGCATGACCTCAAATTTCCCTCGAGATATTGCCACAGTTTACAGGTTCACCAAAAGCTTGCTTCTGCACCAGCGTCACTAGACGTTGCCAGTCCTCAGTGTTTACCAGTTTGATGGACAAAATGATATTTAATTGTCTTTGCTGCTTCAACTTCTTCATATATTTTTCCTTTGGGGAGTTTTTTTTTCATGTAGAGTTTATTTCTAAATAATCTATAATTTCAGTTTATAACCTGAGTATTTAAGAATTTTTTTAAAAGTTACTAAGTGGTTATAGTGGGTTGTCGGAAAAGTCGTGACGTATTTTTTCTATGTTTTTCATTGCAAAAATGCGTCATGGCTTTTCCAACAACCCAATCTATTCTGTGTGATCTTTTTATTCTTTTTATTTTTACTGCATTGTGCCCTTTTTCCTTTTTGAATTTTTGTCTTATTTATATTCTATGAATGTTGAAGGAAAGTGAAGAGTACGGGGTTTTGTATATTTCTTTTACATCAGGTGTATTATGCTTTCTTTCCTACAAGCATACTGTGCTTTTTTATTGCTTTCCTTTATTTTCGACTCTTCCTATTGTTAGCTGACTTGATTTAATTGATTTGTTTTTCCTCCAGTGATTTGAAAGTTCTAGACCCCTTTTTTATCCTGCCAGTGATCATGTGTTTTCATTAATTCCATTTTCAACAGTATTTGTCCTGTTATTTCTTTCTCTTTAGTTTGGAAATTTTGTTTTTATTTTCATTTGTACTTCAAGGAAGCTGCATATTTTTGTTTTCAGATCACTCTTGACAGCCTACTTTTGTTTTTATCAGTGTATTATCATCTTGCATCTCCCTGAAAATACTATTTATGTTTTGTGTCAGGAAGTCTGCTGTTTTTCCCTGCATTGACTGCATTTTTGCAATTGGACCATTTGGTCTGAGTATTCAGCTGGCTTCCTTTGAAGAGCTAATTCTCTTCACATCCTGGGAGTTTTTGTCATTCATTCAGTATCAAGTTGTAGCTAAGACCTGGACTCTGGCACCAGATGACCTGCCGCCCTTCCTAGCTCTGTAGCTTAGGAAGCTCTCCAAGCAGGCATTCTACCCCTCAGCTCTCTTATCTGTAAAATGATGAGGAAAAATAGTGCCTAACACCTAAATTTGCTCTGAGGATTAAGTGAGTTCACATACGATAACAAATTATGTACCTGACACATAATTCCCAAGTAATGAGTGCCCCTTCCAGGAACCAGTAGATGGTTGTTCATTTTACCCAGATGGGGCATCCCCTGAATAGGTTGTAGGTCACCCCTTAGCGGCACAGGTGGTGGGTGCCAAGCTGTTGGTGGGAATAGGTGTCAAGCGGTCTTCCCCTTGGGTGTGCCTGATGGGAGGGGATGTGGGACAGCCCACAGGCCAGTCCAGGAGACTGTGCCCAGGGCTCAGATAGGAGAAGGCTTGCCGTTGCCTCGCCCCACCCTGCCCCAGCCCCAAACAAGCACTGAAGGTGACCAGAGGGATCTGCGGTCAACCTCAGCCCAGCAAGCCAGGCACGGGTAGTCCCCTTCCAGGAGTGCCCGGGAGGGACAGTGGGTGGCTGCAGGGACCAGTGGGCAGGCTGACCCTTGGGTGGGGTCCCAGCAGGAATGTAGGCCCTTCCTGGATGTGCATGACAACAGTGGGCTGGCAATCAGACCCTGTCCTTGAACACAGGGGACGTCTTGCAGCATATTTTCTCTGACTGCCAAGAATGAGACAGGCTGGCTGATAAATTCCGTACAAGCCTGACAGCTAATAGCAGGAGAGCAGACCAGTGAGCTGCACCTTTCACGTCACTCTTTTCTTGTCGTCAGTATGTAGAACATGGAAGTTTCATCCCGTTTGGGTGGGACCAGTTCTCAGTTTCTAATGTCGGGCCAGAGTTTTCCTTTATGTAATTAGTCAAACTGCTCAGACGATAAGTAGGGAAGAGGAGGAGGAAAAGCCTTTTTGCTCTTGGTCTTGCCCTCTACCTAATATGTATTAAATATCTACGGTATACTAAGTTCTGAATCAGTTAGTACTGTCCCCATTTTATAGATGAGCTCATTGAG